AGAAGAAGAAGAAGAAGAAGAAGAAGAAGAAGAAGAAGAAGAAGAAGAAGAAGTGCACAGCAGATTTAAAAGTACGCTCTTCACATTGCATGCTACTCATTATACGTTTACCCCAACACAATACACTGTACCTACCTGGGCTGCACACGATACCCAAGACACTGTATACTTTCCTGCCTTGTGAGGAGATCAGCATTTCCACAGGAAAGTTCTGTGCTATCTTCGCGTAGACTTGAATCACAATTTTCTCGACCAGGCACTGTCGTGACGACTGCTTTTAAATAAAACTTCATTGAGCCAGTGAACACAATGGGTGCGCAAATGAAGGCACCCCCTCAAAAAAATAAAAATAAAAATAAAATAAAAACCCTCACCAGTGTCGCAAAAGGCGACTGCGCGTACAAACTTTATTTCCAAACAGATTGTAATGGTGTGCTGCATGGTGAACTGGAATTATGTCAAAGTGCACAGTCTAAATTTCAGAGAGGGCTATTCCACGGTAAGTGACGAGACAAAAGAGGTTTTTTTCTGTTCCGCCTGTGACCGGAACTAAACACGTCACAGATTACACATCAAGTGCTTTTTTTCTCACATGACTGCCTTTAATAATAATATGATTCTTAACATGTTATTCCAATGATCGGATGATTGAAAGTTGAAATAAATTCATTAATATTGAATTACAGTGTTATCGTTGAAAGAAGGTATAGTCCAATTGTCCCGTCAGTTACCGCGGAATAGCCCTATTAATACAAGTATGTGTCTACGCCAGTACCCTCGTCTCTTGCAGTAGTTCTTTGACTTCATGACCAGTAATAACGACATTGGTGAACATAACAACATAATCCCAAACCTTACAAAATCTCTTTTGTGGCTGCATTTGGACAGTATGTCAACCATACTAAGCCTTCGTCTCTTACGAGTCTGGAGATGAAATCCTTGTAAATTCTCAACTGATACTTATCTGTAACAACAGGATGTGGAATGAACTATGTGAGATCATGATTAAAATTGTAAATTAACATAGCTTATATCGTCCGAGTCTGTATCTCTGCAAGGTGTGTTGTGTCTGCGCTTGTGAGTGCCTCCCTTTGTTGGGGATAGTTACTCAGTACTTACTTCCTATCTTTTTAATTCTTTTGCTCTCTTCCCACCCCTCTCTCCCTCTTACTTACACACGAACCTTTGTCAAACCCTTTGCTCTCTCTCTCTCTCTCTCTCTTTTCTCTCTCTCTCTCTCTCTCTCTCTCTCTCTCTCTCTCTCTTTCTCTCTCTCTGTCTCTCTGTCTCTCTGTCTCTCTGTCTGTCTGTCTCTCTCTCTCTATATATATATATATATATATATAATCTATATATATATATATATATATATATATATATATATCTCCATATATATATACATATATATATATATATATATATATATATCTCCATCTATTCTCTCTTTCTCTTTCTCTTTCTCATTCTCTCTCTCTCTATCTCTCTCTCTCTCTCTCTATCTCTCTCTCTCTATCTATCTATCTATCTATCTATCTATCTATCTATCTATCTATCTATCTATCTATCTATCTATCTATCTATCTATCTATCTATCTATCTATCTGTCTATTTATCTATCTGTCTATCTATCTATCAATCTATCTATCTATCTATCTATCTATCTATCTATCTATCTATCTATCTGTCTAGCTATCTATCTATCTATCTATCGCAAGCGCGCATTAATGCGTATACGTGTACTCTATGAACAACCATACACCCACACAACCAGGTCTGGTACGACTAATAAACAGAATAAACTAGCAAAAAGTTAAAATTGATTCCACAAAAAAATAGAATCTAAACGAACCAACGATGACAGCCATATTGGAATTTTTGCACTTATATTTTACGAAAGGCTAAAAATGATATTAAAAATGAACTTCTTGCCCCCCCCCCCACAAAAAACAACCCTATAAGCGATGTATAACATTCCGGAAGCATTGGCAAAAGACGATGAGTCATATCGATGTTTGCCATTTGGTGGCTATCTTGGCTTTCAAGGCTTCACGGGTAACGCCCATTTTTAAAACGAGGCATGGGGGCTAATTTTCTTACTTAATTAGACATTGAAGATAGTACAACATGTGAACTTTGGCAGCCTACAGTCACGGGACAATTGGTTTTTTTTACCCGACTATATCCGGATTCAAACTCAAGTCGTTGAAAGTAAACAAGTCTTTAAGAAACTCATAATAGAGTATCCAATGAGTTAGGGTCTCTTTTTAACACTCGGCGTTTATCAAAAGGTGGGACCCCCTAAATTAAGGTCCATCTCCGATAGGATGTTGCTAGGCAGAAAGAAAAGCCTTAGAAACTCCCCAGAAAACCAACGTTCAAGAAGACCCTTTAGATATTCGAACCTGGGCTATCTGCGCAATAACCCAGCATGATACAAAGTGAGCTGTCGGCTCATCCACAGACTTCATGAGGAAACTCGATTCACAAAGGAAACACTCTCACTTTATACACACTTTGGTCCACCGCCTTGGTAAGTCTGGTTTCTGTGCCCCCCCCCCCCCCAAAAAAAAATCCTCTGGGCCTTTGACTCGTTCTCTTTCTGTCTTTCAGCCACACCCCTATTTTAGAGTAGGTAAGATCGAGCACTTAGCCTTCTCGGGTAAGGCCCAAAAAAAAATTCGGAGGTCCCGTGTGCAAGATATGCACGTTAAAGATCCTTTGATGATTGTAAAATCAATAAGAGTAGGCTTCGGCCGCTAGCCGGCAAAATTCCAAATTAATTCCTACCAAACTGAAAATGCAATATATCCCGCGCACTCATATGACCGTAGATCTATTATTCATTTGCGAGCTCCTTAAAACACTAACTAAAAAAAAAAAAAAGAAGGTAAGGGTGGGTTTTGTTCGATCTTCCTTGAGCCTGAAGGCTGAGTCGCGCTGAGAAGTAAGCAAAGTAATGCTAGCAGCCATTGCAATATTACCTGCAACTTTAAATCGTTGTCACTTCACGCACTGACGTTAATAAAGTGTAAACCATCTTCCTGTGAAAAGAAACATAAGGAGTCTAATAGACTGTTCAAACGATTTTTCTACATTTGGTACAATGGAACAAACAAAAAAGCCATTTCGTTTATTGTGACTGTCTAGACTGTTAAGGGATGAGTTCCTCAATGAAAATGAAAAATTATAAAACCATTCCAGAGACTGTTTTGCTTCTGTATAGTTCACACTGTCATACAGCCATGAACGTGCACCTCCTGGCAGTTTAAGGTGCTATTCGACACGTGAATAAAAAAGAAAAGTGCTGCTGAAAATATATAATGTATAAGGCGAATTGTTGATCAAAAGAATATTCATTGAAATTAATCACTTTTGTTGGATGAACCATGATATTAGTAAAGTTTAATCAAAACAAGCCGAGTCAAAATAATATGTGGTGTCTGTGGTCTAGTGGTTACATTGTTTGTCTCGCAACTAAAAGGTTGTGGGTTTGATCCCCGTCAGGCCCCCAAAATCATATCCTTGAAAAATGCACTTTACACGAATTGTCCCCGCTCCACCCAGGTGGGATTGGGACCTTTCAAAATCTTGTCAGTTTGTTCGTGTTTGAGCGTTTCATTAAATGCTTGCACGGCATGCTTCCCGGGAAGCCGAGAATGGTTTTGAGTGTTCTATGGTCTGCTGTGGTAATACCATAGGCTGCAAAGCGCACAGAACTTGCTGTTGAGCGAACATACTCCATCCAAATTTGTACAAATGGATATGGAAACACCTCAACACTCAAAGGGTTAATATTTGCATGTAAGTTATACAGCACGGGGTGTTGGGGATTAGTAAAAGTTCATGATGACAATAATTTCTATTTTTATTGTGGCACATGTAGGTTATCTGATAACTGTATTGCTGCAATACCAGTGACCATGCCACCATAGGTATAAAACATGGATGCGCACAGACATCATTGTAGATTTGCTGATATTAGCAATAATTATCTGTCGTATCCATGATATAAATATCTGTCAAATGTTGTGAAATAATCAGGATTGCATTGTTCACCAAGTTTTTATGAAAGTGAAATGTGTGTACAAACAAATGAAAACAACTGTCACAAAACTCAGGTTCAGCTGCCTTTTATACGGAGCATTGTTTATTTTCACACCTTTTGTTGGTACATTTATACTCAGTTCATACAGAATCAATCATTTGGAATCATCCATTATAGAACTCTGAGTGCCTGGGGCTAAGGTTGGTTGTTTGCTGTCTCTGTTTTGTTTGTTTGCTTTTCGTTTTTTCCGCAGGACATTTGGGTCAAAGACAGAAATTGACATTCCCATTGTAAAATGTTTGTATATATGTATATATACTATAAATAAGGTGTGTATGTATGTGTGTGTGTGTGTGTGTGTGTGTGAGTGTGTGTGTGTGTGTGTGAA